TGCGTACCGTTTCAGTATTTGGTATTTTTATAATAATTTAAATTTATTATTAGTGCGATATTAAGCGCAGCAGAACAATGTTGAAAGGCGAGTTTCCGCACGGGCGCTATTGAGTGACGAGCACGTGCGCGAGTAGGAAAATGGAATCATATCAAAAGTGAAAGAGAAGCCAGAGCTTGAAGACCCTCCCACCTCACTACACTCTCCTGTTTGGGAACACTTTGGCTTCTCTGTTAAAATACATAACGGGGATAGACGAGTGGATAAATTTAAAGTTGTATGCCGACATTGTTCCACGGAGATCGGGCAGGCAACACATCTAACATTTTCTACTGCTGGAGGTAGTCACTGCAACCAGATCTGTGCTCTCTTCAGAAAATGTGGATAGGTTATCTATCCTAACTAGTTGCAGTATTTCATTTTTTATTTAAAAAAATGTGTTTTTCTTTATAAAGAGTGCATTTTATTTAAAATATCACCCAAATGTGTCACTTTTATTTATTTTATGCAAGAATTCTACTGTGTATTGGCAGCTTTCAAAATAAAGATTATGTAAGTTCTTATTGTTTTGTACCGAACCGAACTCTCCAAGACACTGTACCGAACAGAATACGATTTTAGCGTACCGTTACACCCCTACTAAATACTACTTCCAGAATAAAAATAGTGACCACCTCGGGTTTTTTGATCTGCACGAAGATCATCACCCCATCATTATGTACACTATGGGACACCATTAAAATATAATCTAACCTGCAAAACTATGGAGTGTGGTTCCTCCGATGTGACAGGCTGCAACGCCGGTGCTCGCTGTTGCATATGTGCTTTTTGGAGGCAGAGAGCCTACGATCCTTTTGAGCAAGAAGGACTTTCCTGTACCTATGGAGTGAAAAATAAAACCAGATACAATTACAAGACCAATTAATGAAGCACAATGGAAAGATGTTGCATCAAACTCAAGGTCCAGCACCCTGCACACTTAAACAGCAACCTAGAGTACAGTGCTTTAGGCTTTCTCGAAAGCCACCGATCTCAAAGCACAGATGGAACTAAACTGTGCACGGCGGTGGTGCTCCAGGACATTTGATACCTCTGGCATATAACATAAAAAGTATGATCATTTACCTGCGCTGCCAGTGAAAAACACATTTTTGCCACTCAAGACTGCATTGAGAACTGCAGTTTGTTCTTTGCTGAGCTTTTGTGCCACAGGCAGAGACAAGACCGGTTTCTTATTGGGGTGAAGTGCTTTGACCTACAACAGAAAAACTGGTTGAGATCCCAAGTGAGACAACCTTTAGGAAGCATAGACTTGAATCATAACCAGAGCAGATACAATTAAAATCCCAATCTAAAAATCAGAAATACTATATAAAAATGGTTAGCCAATAACTAATGTGATGTCACATAAAGGCAGGGATAGCTACCTTTTAGCGAGAAGAATCACTTTAACCAATTCTCTAGAAAAGACTGAACCTACCGGACTAGCATCACAGTCAGATCTGGGCCTCTTGACTTGCCTCCTTTCATTATTGACAGATCTGTCAGTGAGACACCTGGACTGGATTGGAGCGTTCACTTTACTCCTCAGCTCATTCGCTTTCTGCACATCTTTCTGCTGTAAAGGACTGATGGTCTCGAAGCCCCTGGGGAGACCAGCCCGTAGCTTTTCCCGATCACTCATGGGCTTGTTGCCTTGGGAAGCTTGGTGTTTAATGCTGAGAGTTTTGAGGAAGATCTTCAAGCGGTCTGGGGGACAGTCTGAGAGCAGGACCTGAGTGTTCTCTGGGACAAATTTAATAGTGCATTTACCATCCTTTGCAAAGCGCGTAAAGAGTTGGAAATCACGCAACAGGAAATTTTGAGGAGCTTTGCCATCGTGGACTCGCAGGATCATCTCCTGAAACTCGTTTCGGCCCAGTGTGATGGTGCTTCTGCGGATAAGCTGCCTCTTGATGGCCTGCCCCGCCGGATTCAAGCGCTCCACTGCTGCAGTGCACTGTAGCTCCGCCGGCTCCATACCACCCAGCATTTCAACCCTGCAAACAAAGCGTAAAATTGCAGAAATTACATCATATGAAGATTTAAAAAAAGCATGCTACTTGATATCTGAACAGAAAAACTGTCTTGGTAATGTGTGGATACTCAACCCTAACCATCAAATACACCCAGAGTTGATTTCTATTATTCACAATAAACCATTACTGCACTCTTCAATTAATTATTAGATAGATGTATTCATAACAAAAACCAGAAGATCTTGGATACAATTCTTGACATAAACACCCCGACCCATCAATAGTCATTATCTAAAGTAACTTCATTTAGTAGAAGGTATGCACATGAAATCACAGTACCCGGAAGTCATGAAGTGAGTGGCAAAAAGACTATTCATGCCCTAGCAGAGTGAGTTCACATAGTAATGCATTCACTAATAATGGTGTTGTGCTATTGCTGGTTGTAAAAAGAACCTTAAAGTTTACTTCTAAAAACTCATGGAGGACTACATGATTTGAAAGTTGAGGTATAATCGCCACCACCCCCTCAGAACATGTTAATTTATTTACTACATACAAGTTAAAAATACACAAAAATAACAATGCTTGATTGAAATACAGTGGGCAATTCTGCAGAGTATTATTATCAAGTTAACAATAAAAGCCATCCAAACATTTTTGTATTTGAACCATGATTGTTTAGAGGAAAAAGTTTAAAAAGGATTTAGCATTGTATTCAGAAATAACATTTATGAATATGCCATTTAACATTTCGGCAGTTTGAAGCGTAAGGGGCAATTTAAAGTGTGTTGCTTTTCATCGAAAAAAAAAAGACAATCTACCAAATTCACAAGCACACGTCACTACCAACTAAAATATGTCGATCGTACATAAACTAGACGTAAGTGCTCAGTTTCTAATTTAAAACAGGAATACACTCACCTCTTTCTCTCCTTGTTTGCACCAGGTTTGAGCAGCAGCGAGAAACACAGAACCGGCTGCTTAGTGTTTAATGAAACACTCACTGGATTTTCAAACAGTTCCGCTTTACTATGATTGGATAAGAGGGTCAGAGTGCTGACCTATCAGCGCGGAAGGATTTAAAAATACATCCAATCAGCGATTTGAGTTTATCGCGTCAGCACGGAGAACTGCCTACAAAAAATGTTCCACCAATGAAACCCTTTTATTTTTACGTCAACAGTTTTCGTTTCACGTGTTATGAACTTGTCTGTTTGTTAAAAGTTTGATAATTTTTAACAGATTTTGTAATCCTAATGTTTTTAGCTCTAATGATGTGTGAACAAAAAATAGAACATTGAGAGAAAGTCTATTATTCGAAAATATTTAATCAACATATTTTAATCAACATATATTATTTCACTATACACTCAGTGATATATTTAAAGATTTTTTTAGTTTCCATTTGAATGATTGTGGATCAAAGATAACAAAAAACAATTCAGTATTCCACACATTTCAAATATTTCAAGTGACCAGTAAAAAAAAATAATAAAATAAAATAAAAAACTAAACTCACATTGGAATTCTGACTTTTTCCCTCTATGGAGGGTGTCAATTACTGTCTTCTGCATAATCATCAAAAGCAGTCTTCGCAGTAAATATTTATGTTAGATGAATAGATTGGAAAACAGGGAGCATACAATGATATGTCATGATACTCAAATTTTGTAAAATACTGTTTTATTTTTAATCTCAAATCCATACCAATAAAATTGAAAAAAAAAAAAGTCTTGAAATATTTCCCTTTGAGTCTAGCTAACTAATAACATATAGATGTAAAAATGTGAAACAAAGTAAATGGATTTTCCTTCAATATTTTAGCATATGTAAATAGCCTTCATATTATATTTTAGTTTATGTTTTTTTTTTGCAGTGCATTAGATTACATTTCCACATTTAAAGTCATGTTGTATACTTTGTTGTTACAGCTGTGCATTTGAATAAGTAACATTCAGCAAATGAAACCCACAATTTTGCATTTGTTTCTTCTTTTTATATTTATCAATCAATCGGATAAATTTATTGGATAAATCCGCCCCAAATCCTCAAATTAACACAAACCACCGCATTCTCAGATGCTAAGTTTCTTTTGATTTTTAGCTAGTTGATTACCTTTCCAGTATGAAACATCCATTATCCCATGGTTCGGTGTATTTCCACAAACAAGAGATGCAGTTTTACGCAAGCACTGAGAGACTTCCAGGAAAGGGTCTCTGTCCCGCATCATTAGGTCCTGTTCAATGCATGCAGGATAACACTCTTAGTCAAGGGGACAGCAGCTGAGTTATAGCCCTCCTGAGGGTAAGACAGTTCTGAATCCAGCCTTACTGTAAGTGCTGCCTTCATCTGCACCCACAGCCCATTGAAGATGCAGTGAGCTGAAAGAACAATAAACACTTCTGTAATGAAAGCAAATCATTAAAAAGGGAAAGTTCACCCTTAAATCCACTTGTTTATAACTCAACATCATGATCCACTGTCAGCTCTTCATCCCCTGAAAATAGAAGAAGGAGGGATTGGGTTTGCAGCCTTGGATTAAAGTCTGTCAATATTTTTTTTGTAGCTCCACAAAGTTAGATAAATAAAGACAAAAAAGTGCATAAGTTACCATCGGCATGGCTGCAATAGACTGGTGACCTGTCCAGGTGTACCCGCGCTTCTCACCCAATGTGCGCTGGAGATCCCCGTAACCCTAAAAAAGGGAATAAGTGGGTTAGAAAATAAATGAATGAACCATCGGCAAGGACGCTCACTTTAAAAAGCAGATTCACATTGTTGTGTGGCATGAAATCAACAAAACTTTGCCTGCTTGATGTGATCAATACAAATCCTGGAGCTTTTGCTCGGTTTGTTGTGAATAATGCACACGGATTATAACAAAATTAATTAGACCTAAAAAAGCATGTTTAAATGAATCCTACATTTTAATTTTGAGAGATAATACCTACTGATATAATCGAGAGCTTTCTTTTCTTGAATGCTTTCCTGTGTCTTAGTCAGTAGAGCTTTGCGCTTGCAATGCAAAGGTCGTGGGTTCAAACCGCAGGGAAAGCACAAACTGACAATGTGCTAAATTAAAATTGAAGTCCTTTGGGAATAAAGTATGTTCTGAATGTGTAAATTGAAATATAAAGGTAATCTGGTGATAACATTTTTAGGCTTAGCTTATGACATTGAATCTGAATAGACCACAACCCCACATGGAAATAACCTATTTAAACATAGATGCTTTAGTATAGATTTTAAAATAGAGTTACAGTATATGTGACATATATAAAATTGGCCAGCTTTCTATGTGTCACATATATTGAAAACCTACTGTTGTGGCATAATTCTGCTCTTCCCTCTCGAGAGATAGAGTTCTGAGATCTCAGTGCGACAAGGAAAGAGACATGATACAGTTTATTGGCAGGGTTTTTATACGTTGTACAGTTCTGGCGGTTTGAACAAAGTTCCGCTTTTCCTGGGAAAACATCACATACTTATCAGTGTAATTAAGAGTCCTTATGAAATGCTAACTCCAGTCTCTGGTGTTGTGGGGGCGTCCACATTCTTTTGTCGGTGAACCTGGCCTTGGATCTGTGAATGACTGTATTCTCAAGTCCACTCTTAATGCAATGGAACTGAAGAGACTAAATGTCTATCTATGTCATATTTTCCATTACACCTACACATTCACACCTGATGCGTGTTTTTGAAGGAACACACGCAAACACTATGAAAACCGTGAGCTATAACACACACATACACACATTAGCTGTTTTATCCACCAAATACATATGCAAAATGCAACGTTTTTAAAATAGTTTTCTGTCTTTCTTCTAAAAAAACAGTACTCAACCTATGAAGACTAAAATGGAGTTTCCTAGGTTGCGTCCAAGCGTCTCTCAGCTCTGGATTCCCAAACGCTGGAGACTCTTCTGTTCTTAGAGTCTGAAGAGGAATGTAGGTTGCTGGTTTTTATAACATCACTTTATGTCATGTGTTCTAGGGGTTCTTGGAAATTGAAAAAATTCCCAGTTGAAGTCATGAACTCTTTCCAAACTCTTGCAACCTCTTGACAGTCCATTTATGGTCAAACAGCAGAGGAGTCATGGCATTTGGTTGCCTCTCTGTGACCTCTTGATTTTTAGCTGTGCTGGATCTCAGATGTCCATCAAGTTCTTACTCCTCTTCCTCTAACGAAGAAAGTTACAATGCTGAGTGCACATAACACGGGATAATAGATACCTCATCCAAATGAGTAGGAAAAATTATTGCTAAAGGGTACAGAATGTGGTGGAAAAGCCCCCAGAAGCGCACTGAATCAAGCCATGACATCACAAAACAAGTAGAGCAGCGAAAAAAAACAATAAAAAAATAAACAAAAAGCCTACATGATTGCTAACCTAACCCTGACCAAATATAGTATGTAATATAGATGCAAGCAAAGCATGTAAATGTACTTTCTTAGACGTGATCTGTCCAGCATGTGTGTACCTTTTACCTTTAACTGCTAGCATGTCAAGCAGACCCCTTGACCCTAATAACAAACACGCACTGTTAAATGATGGGTGGCTGTACGGAGTGGTAATTGTTATTCTTCAAAGTTTAGATTGCAAAAGTTCAATTAGCAACCCCATTATAAATTCATATCTAATCTTCCTTGCAATATCATGCCTCACTAAACCTTCCATCACAGAGAGCTCTGCAGAGCACAAACTCCCCCTCATAAATGAGCTTTTGAATAAAGCGGAACTGCCGTGAGGGCTTTTATATATAACTGTTATCTGTGAAAGATATACAGCATGACGTCATGGAGTAAAAATTCCCACTGGACATTTTTACAAACCAAATTTTTTATAGTGTCTTTAGTTCCAGCAGAGGATGGATAAATTAATGGTATTTTATTTTCTCACATGCAGGCTTTAAATGTATCCCTGAGATGCTGACTCAGGCATGACAAAATTTCCCTCTTCTGATTCTGTGAACCATCAAAACACTCATTATCATCATTTGAGAATGAGCGCCTCAGTTTGGATTATTGCACACCCACTGATATCCTAATGACATCCTTCTGCTACAGATATCATGTTTAATGAACACGATCAGAAGGCTTCCAGATTTTCTCACCTTGATCCCCCATTAACTTGGACTTTTATGTTTCATTTCTCAACTAGACATGGCAGAAAAGATGTTTCTGAGCTTTGGTAATTGTTCCAAAATTTAAGTTCGTTTAATTTATATAGCGCTTTTCACAACAGACATTGTCTCAAAGCAGCTTTACAGTAAACCAACAAG